ACAACTAGAAACGATTAGTGGAATAAGAATTTGGAATTTATGGAATTTGTATATAGATGGATAGATAATGTAAGATAATAGATAAGTCCATAGATGGAGTTTAAAGTAGATATACCTTCAAGGGTGCTTTTACAGCAAAGTGCAAACTTATGAACTCTGGTCTAAAGTAAAGATTGGACATCCATTTGTCCAGGATGCTGTAAGGATTCCTGCCTTGGGCAGGGGGTTGGACTAGAAGACCTCCAAGGTCCCTTCCAGCCTTATAATTCTATGATTCTATGTTTTCTCTCTTGGTGTCTAACAACAACAAAGCAATCAACTAGCTGCAGTGTGGAAGGTCATGGATTATTGAGAAATGTTCTTTAATAGATAAACAGAGGACCAAGTTTAATATTTCACAGTGCTGGAATTCTCCTCATGAATATTTGCCAGATCTCAGGTTTAGTCCCAAATATTTTTATGCAGGCATCTAGCTGAACATGTAAATGAATATATATTGATTTTCTTGTTTGCTTTTTTTATATTTACTATGATTACCGATAAAGAAGATTACTGCAAAATAGTAAAGAGTGCAAAGTTGAAAAATCTTATCTTCCAGCTTAAAATACTAGGATTATGCAGGGTAACATCCATAAGACAGCAGACATACGCTCCTGAACAATTTGACAAAATGCTGTAAATATTAATAAGATTATCTAATAATCATAATAATTTGAAACTACTGAAAACGTGCTATACATTTTAAAAATCACATAACTAAATGAAATAGCAAATTATAAAGAATATCCCCTAAAAGGATGGAAATTCAACCAGCGCACTGTACAATCTGTTATTTTTAAAAACATGAAGAAAGTCTCCACCTTCTCAAAACTTCCTTGTTTTGCTACAAAACTGAAACATTCCACAGCTCAGCTGCCCTGAGAGTCAGTCACACAGGATTCAACCTTGAAATACTTGCAGAAGTAACAGCTAATCCCAGGTCTACATTTCTAATCTGAAGATTTGCAATTATGAATTATAACTGTATATTACATACAATTACAAGTATAAAGTAGCTCAGAAAGACCTGAGAACATATTTTGCAGAAAGAAAATTGAGAAATATTTTCTACCTTCAGTTCAAATTCAGGTAATCCTTGGCTGACGACCACAACGGAGCTCAAAATTTCTGTTGCTAACTGAGACAATTGTTAAGTGAGTTTTGCCCTGTTTTACAACCTTTCTTGCCAGTTGTTAAATGAAGCACTGCATGTTATTAAATTAGTAACATAGCTGTTAATCTGACTTCCCAATAGACTTTGCTTGTCAGGTCTCAAAAGATGGATCACATGAACTTGCAACCCTCATAAATACATGCCAGATAATGATGATGATGATGATGATGATGATGATGATGATGATGATGATGTTGCAAGGGACCTTGGAGGTCATCTAGTCCAACCTCTGCTCAGGCAGGAAACCCTATACCATTTCAGACAAATGGTTGTCGAGTCTCTTCTTAAAAACTCCCAATGTTGGAGCATTCACAGCTTCTAGAGGCAGGTTGTTCCACTGATTAATTGTTCTAACTGTCAGGAAATTGCTTCTTAGTTCTAGGTTGGATCTCTCCTTGATTTGTTTCCATCTGTTGCTTCTTTTTCTGCCTTCAGGTGCTTTGGAGAATAGCTTGACTCCCTCTTCTTTGTGGCAGCCCCTGAGATATTGGAACACTGCTATCATGTCACCCCTCGTCCTTCTCTTCATTAGACTATACATACCCAATTCCAGCAACCGTTCCTTATATGTTTTAGCCTCAGTCCCCTGATCACCTTTGTTGCTCTTCTCTGTACTCTTTCTAAAGTCTCAACATCTTTTTTACATCGTGGTGACCAAAACTGTATGCAGTATTCCAAGTATGTCCTCACCAAGACATTGTAAAGTGGTATTAACACTTCACGTGATCTTGATTCTATCCCTCTGTTAATGCAGTCCAGCACTGTGTTGGCTGTTTTGGCAGCTGCAGCACACTGCTGGCTCATATTTAAGTGATTGTCCACTAGGATCTGAGATTCCTCTCATAGTTACTACTATTGAGCAAGGTACCACCTATACTATAACTGTGATTTGGTTTTTCTTGCCTAAATGTAGAACCTTACTTTTTTCACCATTGAATTTCATTTTGTTAAATAACGCTCAACGTTCAGGTCTGTCAAGATCCTTCTGTATCTTAAGCCTATCTTCTGGAGTGTTGGCTATTCCTGCCATCTTGTTGTCAACTGCAAATTTGATGAGTTCCCCATCTATCCCCTCATCCAAATCATTGATCAAGATGTTGAAGAGCACTGGGCCCAGAACAGAGCCCTGGGGCACCCCACTACAAACTTCCCTTAGTTCCCTTCTCTACTTTTTGGCAGACAAAGTTGTCTGCTAGATTTGTCAGGAATCAGTTTGATCTTCCACTTGGTGCAGAGTTTGTCTCCCAGTTGATGTCAGGGTAATTAAAGTCCCCCATAACTATTGTGATGTGCTTCCTACATACCTTAGTTAGCTGAGTAGCAAAAAGTTCATCTATTTCTTCTGTTTGGTTGGGTGGCCTATAGTATACACCTATGGCAATGTCATTTTTTCCCCTTTTATATTGACCCAAAAGCATGTGAGACAGCTTTCATCATTGTTGTGCTCTATTTCTGTAGAGATGTAGTTATTTCTTATATAGAGAGCAACTCCACCTCCTCTTTTATTTGATCTATTTCTTTTAAATAATTTAAATCCCTCTAGCTGTGTGTTCCATTTGTGGGTTTCATCCCACCAAGTTTCCGTAATGGCAACAATATCATATCTGCCCTCATTTACCTGAATTTCTAGTTCACCCTGTTTATTGCTCATACTCTCTACGTTGGTGTATAGACATTTGAGTCCTTTATGACTGACCCTGTGTTTACTTTCTACATAACCTATGTGGTGCCTGAGTTCCTCTATTTTCTTACCACCTGTTTGATTAGTGCACTTGGTGTGGCATTCACTATTAAAAGCTTGATTTTGCTTGACAGCTAGGTTGATATTCTTGTCCACACACACCTCTGTAACATGCACTGCTAACCCTATAACTCACAGCTTGCAGTTCCTCTCTGCAGCCTCTAGGCAGTTCAAATGCAATGGTGGTCCAACCAGAAGCTCAGCTATGTTTATCCTCTGCCAAGCATCTAAATTTTAATCACATGACCATAGGGATGCTACAACAGTTGTGTGAAAAACAGTCATAAGCCACTTTTTTCAGTGCCATTGTAACTTCAAACAATCACTGAATGAATGGTTGTAAGCCATTCCAAAACAGGACTACCTGTATGATCCCTGACTTCTCTGAGTTCTATGTTCCTCTCATTTCTAGATTTTCTTTCTCATGTCCAAGGTTCTACATCTCACCATATCTACCATTTTTATATCGCAAGACCTTTTTTCCTAGAGTCTGGCTGACCATTAAACATATAGTATCTTTAGAGGTTAGTTTAGAAAAGAACCCCAGGTGTAGAGAAAACACATATCCTCACCCAGGTTTGAACATACAGTCATGTTCAGGAACAGCAACTGTATACAGATAGCCCTTGACCTACGATCATTCATTTAACAATCTTTTGAAATTAACGCTGGGGCTGCCTTACAAGTAGTCCTCACATTTATGACTGTCGCAGCATCCCTGCAGTTATGTGATCAAAACCCAGGCTCTTGTCAGCCAGCATGTATTTATGAGAGTTGCAGTGTCTCCGTGATCACCATTTGCAAACTTCCCTGGGGGGCTTTTGATGAGCAAAGTCAACGGGGGAAGTCAGATCTGCTTAACAACTAGATTCACTGCATGATTGTCGCAAAAAAAGTTGTAAATTGTGTTGACACTTAATGATTGCACCCCAAGCTCTGATTCCAATTGTGTTCATATGTCAAGGACTACCTGCACCTTGAATGACAGAATGGCATTGACTGTTGAAAGGGATCTCTTAAATTGGAAGCTAGTAGTCTTCAAGATGTTTTCAACAGTGATCTAGTAGTCCCACTCAATTAAATGTGTGCTTTTAAACCTTCCTATTAATTCCTCTTTTACTTAAAGCAAAGGTTCTCAAACCACACGCCTGCATATTTATCATCCCCTTGCTCCGGAATACATTTGCCTCTTTCTCAGCTACTTACTAGCCCATCCCACTTACTAACATTCCTACATCAGCTGGCCCATCCTCTCTTGCTCTGCTTGCAGCCTCCCAGACCTGGAGAAGGCTAAAAAGCAGGATGATGGGGCCAGGAGGCCAGGCCTGTATTGCTTGGGGCCTTTTTGCTCTCCGCAGCTGTTGGATGAGGGAATGGCTGCTTGGGAAAATGGAGCAGATGAGAAAAGTAGCAGCAAATCCTAGCAGGACTGAGGAATGCCTGCAGCACCCAATGGCACGCCTGCCTTCTTAAGCAACCCTTACCTGCCAGCTAGGAGGAAGGGACAGAACTGAGGTCCTAGCACAGTGGTTCTCAACCTTTTTAATGCCGCGACCCCAACCGGTCGTAAGTCGAGGACTAAACCGGTCGTAAGTCGAGGACTAAACCGGTCGTAAGTCGAGGACTAAACCGGTCGTAAGTCGAGGACTATCCAACCAGTCGTAAGTCGAGGACTTTCCCTGCCCGGGAGCGCCGCGCATGCGTGGTTCCGCCCCCTGCGCCGGCCGAGGCGTAGCTGGCAAGCGGCAGAAGCGGAGCAGGCCGACCACCAGCTGGCCCAGCCCAAGGGAGGTAAGGCACCCGCCGGAAAAGGGGAAAAAAATGGCGGACAAAAAAATGGCGGACAGCCTTGCTTGGCGACCCCCATGAAATGGTCGATCGACCCCAAATGGGGTCCCGACCCACAGGTTGAGAACCACTGTCCTAGCAGAACTGCTTACACCAAGCAGGGCTCTGCAAGTTCTCTGCCAGTCTCCAGAGGCCCGGGAGCTTGGCTTTCACACCACTCTGGAGATGCTGGTGCAAGCCTGCCTGTATGGATCTGCCAGAGGTTGTCCTCTCAAAGCTTCTGGGCACAGGAAGGAACCACAAAGCCATCCAGAATCACAAAGAGGATCCCTCACTTGCAGGACAGTTTTTTTACACTGCACATGTCTTGCATGCTTGATGCTAGGCTGTCCAAACCCAGACATTTAAAAAGAAACACTAATTAATAAATGTAATCAAAATTTACAAGTCATGAATTCTGCCCCTCTCTAAGTTCATTTTTCCAAGTTCTGTAACTTTTTTTAAAAAAATCTGCTTTGTAATTTGCCTTGGGGAGAAAAGAATACTTTGGGTCTTGTGTATGTCTTTGAATATAAAATAAAGATGAAATTAAAAGAACATCTTTATTCCACTGGTGCCAGATTTAGCAAACACATGTTTTTGAACCTTTTTGTTCAAAGTATATAACCTTTGAAAAACACAAACTACAACAACTATCCATGCTGAGTTGAAAGAGTTTTTTTTAAATCACTCTGAAGGAACAAGATGCCAATCACTCTTACCTCAGAGCTGAGAAGAGCCTGCCCATGCAGGTTTGCAAGGGAAGAAGAATAATCAGCACCGCCATCCCTGCAAGGCAGGACGGGCCAATCTCAAGCCACAAAAGAACAGTCACAGCTATTGCCTGAAGGGGTCCAGCCCATAAGAAATGCAAGAAAATAGTCACCTAGGCAAAAAAGAAATACACGTGACTCACAAAATGAACTGAAAATAGAAAAATCACGACAGCGACCAGTCTATTGTGCGCATGGGGGAAAGTCCTGTGGGACCCAGAAATGATCAATATCTGGATATGTTAGGTTATATATAAAAAAGTTGTTGTTGTTCCCTAAATGCCTTGGGAATTCTGCATGTCACTCTAGTCTTGGAATTGCTCCTTACTAAGCTGGAACTCCAGGCCTCAGCAACTGCCTGCACCATCTGAAATATAGCTTCCTTTTTAGCCTGACATTTATCATCTGTGATCATCTCCACATCTGAGGCCACATGAGCCAAAATACCTCCTACATATTACTGTCTATATAATGCTATACAATTTACCCTGGACATTTAAGAAAACCTTCGCATGACAGAGTTTAATCCTGTCTGGTTTGTGAGAGCTCTAACCCATATCTCATGAAACCAGCATGTTTATTTTTAATCTATACAAAATCATCTACAGGCAGAGTTAAGCCAATTGAGCTGCCCAAGGTTAAATTAATGAACTTTGCGCTTAGCTGAATGATCTCAAAAAACTAAGCACAGTCACGTCTGGTTCATACTTTCTTGGCTACCATGAAATATCAGAACTATAGCTGAGACTAGGATGCTTAAAAACTACCCTAAAAGAAGAGCGTGGCAAATCAACTTTCTAATATTGCTTAGAAATCTTACATAGACATATCTCTTAGCTCACAAGGAGTGAAGCCCAGTTTGAAGGGGACTTATTGTTCTGCCACTGCAGTATCCTTGAATGAATCATAGATACCCTTGGCAGTTTTTAAAAGCCAACATGAGCCAGTTTAGTCTAATGCAGGAGTAGGCAACCTTGGCTCTTTTATGACTCGTGGCCTTCAACTCCCAGAATTCCTGAGCCAGCCATGCTAGCTCAGGAATTCTGGGAGTTGAAGTCCACGAGTCATAAAAGAGCCAAGGTTTGCCTACCCCTGCACTAAGTGAACTGATGTAAGTCGAGGACTACCTGTATAAGTTATTCTTCTTATCACAATCCTCCATTCTAAGAAGACATCTGCTTGGAAATCACCGCAATATAAGATGCACCCCACAAAGGATTCGATATAGCCTTTAAAAACATTTTTATCCACTGCATACACATACAAGCAAACCCAAGGATTTTCATTCTATCTTGCTATGAATAAAAAGAAAAGGCCACTACCTAAGATAACTCTTAAGCTAAATCATTCAAAATGTGTGCCTCCCTTAGGGCTTACCTGATCAAATTTATTCACATCGTTTGACAAAAGATTTACAATCTGACCGGTTGTCGTTTTTGACATGGCTGCATTACTCAGACGAAGTGCCTAAGAGCAGAAACAAACTTATTCAAATGTCACATTCATACGCTGAATAGTATTTAGTCACAGCATTTTCCCAATTTAGCTATCTTTCGTCTTTTTTCAATATTTCCTTTAAAAAAAATTAAATATACTACTCAAACATTTTTCCAAGTTTCAATAATCACCTTATGGGAACAATGTAAGATGAAACAAACTCCCCAAAACAGGATCAAAACTAAGGTTCAAGTTTAAGTTAACAGACAGTGAAAAAGAAGACCATGACATGTCATCCGGAGTTATAGTATGTGAACCTGACATTTTGGTCCATAATCATGGTTTATGCTTAGACTGTTGTGTGAATCTAGATAACTATGGTCTGCTGAATTTACTTTTGTGTTGCATATGAACCCAACTTCTCCAGAGCTAATAGTGATTGTATCATTTGCACTTGCTAACTCTATGGATCAGAACAGCACTGTAATTTCTCTTTTCCAATGTATATGATCCTACATTAATTTAGAGTACTATACTTAATGCTAAAGATTTCTATCTAAAATTTGATTCTCCTTTTTAATAGCATTTAATTTGGTCTACCTTGAAAGACTGATTTACCTCAAAGAAGAAAAGTTTAGTAAGTCTACTTCCACACCTCAATGTTTTATGGTCAAGAGATAAGCTTAGGACAATATATTCCTTTTACATTGTTTTTCACTTTTCTCTAGTAACTGCCAGAAAATAAACCAGGGTGTTACTCTCATTCAAATGCCAGGATTAAGAGGAAGCGACTCCACAGAACACTCTTCCATCTTCAAAAAAAGTAATGTTTCTTTTTTATCAAAGAAAAACTCAGGATGCTGGGAGAGATTCTTCCTTTTGCAATGCCATACTCTGCAAAACCCCATTGCCACAACTTTTCCTGTTCTAAGGGTTTGTTTAGAAATATAGGTAGTCCTCGACTTATGATCACAATTGATCACAGGACCCCGGGACACAGGCAATGGTTATAAACATGAACCAGCTGCCAAGTGTCTGAATTTTGATCACATGATCATGGGGATGCTGCAAAGGTCGTATCTTTGAAAAACGGTCATAACTCACATTTTTCAGTACTGTCGTAACTTTGCACAGTCACTCAACGAACTGTTGTAAGTCAAGGACTACCTGCTCTAGGGGAAAAGGTTATGTCAGAAACTGAGGAAAGTATTTTGGGGAAATCTACTTCAGATAAAAGAAAGGAGTCAATTTCTCTCTGCGCACTTCTCATACAACAATGCTGGCAACATTTTAAGGACAGAACTCCTGTTTGTGTTTCTCCAAGCTACAGTATAGTGCATTGTCTGAGAATTATAAGCATAGCCAGATCTTTAAACAGTGGAACAACTTGTACTCATTCACACTCCTTATTCTTCATGCTAACCATGAGAACCAATTCACGGAGTCAAATCACTCTCCAGGATCTTGCTTTTCTGAAAGATTTAACAGAAGTGTCACCCAATAGTGATATTCTAATCCTTTGGTCAAAAAGAACAGAACTATCTTGAAATTGGGTCTTCATACTATTTATGGGTGGTTCAAGTCTACGTAATCTGGACTATATTCTTCTGAATAGGACAAAATTTTACATGTTTCGTAAATTCATAAAGTTTCTTAATTCAAAGAGTAGTTCATTTACCGTTCTTCCGCTGCCCGTCGTCCCTCTTTCATCTTTTGTAGAATTAAGATTCCTTCTTCGCATCTGTTTTTAAGCAAAAGGAAGAAGCAGCCCAACCTATCTAAAGCAGAAACAAGGGAGACAGAACAGGTATACAAGTCAAAATAGGCAACGAATTAGTAAGGAAATGCCTATCCACCCTGGATGAATACAAATCAGTAGGCCAGATGGTTTATGCACCAGTATTTTGAAGGAGCTGGCAGATGTAATTTCAGAACCCACTGAATGTAATCTTAGGCAGGACAAGAAGTAATGGGTGGAAGCTTGTTAAAGAGAGATCCAACCAAGAAGTAAGGAGAAATTTTCTGATAGTAAGAACAATTAATCAATAAAATAGCTTCCCTCCTAGGGATGTGGCGACTCCATCACAGGAAGTTTTCAAAACTGAACTGGACAACCATTTGACTAGGATGATATAAGATCTCCTGGTTTGAGCAGAGAGTTGGACTAGAAGACTTCCAAGTCCCTTCCAGCTTTATGATTCTATGATTCTAAAGATGTTTTCCTATAATGCAATCCCACACCCTTGTGAATAATGTGAACAAACTTGTGGAGGCTAATCACAGTATAATAAATGTGTAGAAAATGATGAATTCCCTTCTGTTTCCCACAATGTGATTTCCATGGTGCTACAGACAGGGCATAAAATACTGGAATATCAACACCTATTGTAATCAGAATAAGACGTCCAAGTAACAAGTGCTTCATTTTCAACACACTGAATGGTGAGTCCTTAAAGGAAAAGCTACACAGTAAATCAATTTTCCTTAAACCAAAAATTAAACTTAACATAAAGAGCAGCATAATACTTGGTCATTGTTTCACAGAAATATTATTGCATACAAAATTTAGCAGTAAGACTATCCTGCGGATTTAACAGTGAACAGATAAACATTGCATCATTTTATCAATGATATATAAATCTTTTGCTTAAGCAAAGAAGAAAAACCTTAAACCTAAAGGTGAGCTATCTCAATGTCCTCTAAAATTTCTAATGCAGGATAATACATACAGAGAAATGCCTCTCAAATTCTCCCTATGGGTTGAAAAAACTCTGGAAATCCTATTCTCTTTGCATTTGTCTACTATCAAAAAAAACAATTCAGGAGCAGCCTACGTATTTTTGAATTAAAACTTTAAGGCTAACACATTATTTTGATAGATCATGTTGTTGGTAACTAGTTACTGCAAAGAAATCTCTATATTCCGGTGCTTATTGTTCTGTATGGCTAAAAGAGTGAGTGACTCTTCAAAATAAGAAGTAATTCGAGTTAGTGAGTCAGAATTAAGATTTGGATGACATGGCTATTTATGGTATGATAAGGTTAAAGTAAATGCTGATTTTAGTAATCACTTTGTTAGACATGCCATCCTAAGAGTTTGGAATAAATATAAAGTAATATAAAATTTGGCTGTCTCTCCAGAAAGCTTTTTTTTTTAGAAAAGAAATGCTGGTGAGGCCAGACTGGTAGACTTATGGTTAAATAAAATATTTTAATTATGGTGACCCTATCCTCAAATCTAAAGAGGAGTTGGAATCAGAAGGACGTGTTTTCCATTGGTTTCCATATTTACAATTGAAAGAAAGACTTAAACTAGACAAATAGGGTTGGGGGATTGTTCTTGACTACTATTTAATTATATCCTCTGCAAGCAACATTATGCAAAGGCAAATTACATAATCTACATCATGGTAACATAAAGAGAATGAGAACACCATAGGATGCAAAATTAATTGCACTAGGATTCACTAAATTGTAGATCCAATGTAATTTTTCAAAACTGAAAAAAAGTTAGTGATTTCAATGAGTTCTGGAATATTGAGAGGTCAAATGGAAAAGTAATTAGAACCCTAAAATAAGGAGACAGGAACCCAACATGAACCAATAAGCTTTTTTCCATTCCTTGTTTTTAGATGCAGTATTGGTTGAAAGGCTTTGTTCATGATTCCCAAAACACACCGTAGTATATTATTCAGAACAGCAAATTAGTTCCT